AGCAATCGGACTTGCGGTTTTTAACAAGAAGTCGAAAATATCACTTTTTACCAAAAATGACAAAAATATTCACCAAAATTAGAGAATTGAAGATATCATCACAAAATGAACAAATCTGAGAGAGGTCCACATGTAGTACCTATATATGTAATATCAAAGCATTTGCACTTGCGGTTTTTAACAAGAAGTCGAAAATATCACTTTTTACCAAAAATGACAAAAATATTCACCAACATTAGAGAATTGAAGATATCAACATGAAATGAACAAACCTAAGAGAGGTCTACCCAAGGTACATATACACCAAGTATCAAAGCATTCAGGCTTGTAGTTTTCAAGAAGAAGTCGAAAAAGTAAAACATTGACACGGACGACGGACAATCACTCATATGATAAGCTCCGCTCGACAAAGTCGACAGCGGAGCTAAAAAAATGGAATAAAAATATGGTAGCAAAAGTAGCAAACTTTGTTACTTTTAGTGCATTTTACAATTATTTTTCATGGAAGTATCCCAAAATTTCGTTCCGTGACATTTTTGATGGTATTTTTGATGTCTACAGTATTGAAAAATCTACAATATTTTTGTGGGTTTTTAACAAGGAAATGTGTTTTCATTGTGGTCTATGGAAACTGCTGCTGAAATGACATTTTATGCATACTATTTCATCGTTTTTATCAAAAAGCAGATTGACAGGGAACCAAAAAAGTTCACATAATGTTGACTAAAATGAATAACTGTAGACATATACTGACATAAAATATTACTACTGCCATATGCGCTAAAATATGTGCAGATGTAAAAAACTTGCAAGTAGCATTCTAATTCGAGTAGATATGAGCTGAATGGAAGATTATACGTAATGTTCATGATATTTTTATTACTATGGGTTTATGTCATTAGGATATTGAAATGGATAAAAACAAATTAGGGATCACCAGGCAATTTTACAAGAGTCTTAAATCCTCATTTGGTTTCTATTATTTCTTCATATCTCAAACTTTTTGCTTGGTGATATGAGCTGAAAAGGTCCTATATTATTATTGACATGAATCCTATTATCAGTCAAACATTTCAAAAGATTTGCATATAATTTCAGGGTGATAATGGTTCCCTATTATATACAAATAAAATAATACATTGCATAAATATGCAGTAGTATGCTCAGTAGTGCAAAATACGAATTTTCCCATGATGCATTGCATAAATATGCAGTAGTATGCTCAGTAGTGCAAAATACCAATTTTCCCATGATGCATTGCATAAATATGCAGTATGCCTATTGCAAAATTTTATTTCAGTTCAAACTGCCTTAAAAGCAGTAATAACTAAATATTGAATTTGAACCACAATTTGTAAAATGCCCTACACACATAAACTAATTGCAGTGCTGAGACCTCCTCCAAAGCATTGATAGGTTACAGCAGCCAAAAACAAGATTTGTTCGGGGAGTTAGCAAACTCCCTATGAAAGTTTCTATGAACATTGCAATATCGTGAGGAACTTTTCTATTAGTGCTATCAAATGATTTAATGTTATGAAAACAATTTGCTACATTTTGTGACAATCTCAATTTCCCTGGCACCACTTCATTTTGCACAAATTAATTTTTGTCAAAGTACGTACCATAGCCAAGTTGTCTGTTGTCATTTGTTTCCATGTTGTCTGTGTTGTATTATTGTTGTTACTATGCAAAGGTAGTTGTATGATATTCTAATGAATCCACAGTCACTTCAATGGTCTGGGGGGGGGGGGGTTTACTGGAACATTGATAAGTACTTTCCAAGGGAAGTTGCACGTTACCCATATGAATCTCATTTTGTGTCTGCTGTAAAGTCAAGTGTAAGGGTTCAACAATAACGCTAGACCATTGTCTTAATCTTAGTATATTTAAGCAAAAAAAGAAGAAATGTTTTCCCAAGGTAGTTGAATGAGCAGATAATTTTATCAACTGAAAAGTATTATAAAATAGAGTATATTGAGCTAGGTACTCTGCTTTTGATTTTCTTTATTAGGCTAGGGTGTCCTTTTACCTGAAGGCCTTAGCTCCTATTTTTCTTCAGTGTAACATCAATATTCTGGACCTCCTAGTTTTATTATCTTTATTTTGCTATAATAATTTGTTTTCCCCCCTTATTTTAACCTGCAACTCATTCATGATATTTCTATCTAGTTTTCATTCATGTTTCTTTCTTATCTGGGAATGTATCCTCCATAAAGCTATGATCTATTTCAGACCCAGATAAAGTTATATGTTGGAATGTCATTTCAAGTCTAATCTGACATGGACTGCAGCTATAATATTCTAATGGTAAAACCATTTATTTTCACTGCCATTTAATTTCACTATTTACTTAGCAGCAAAAATATGGAAATTAAAACCCTGTGAATAATTAATGCATTTACAGTATTTAGCATACAAAGTAATTTCACTAACTCAAAATGTAGCTTTTCTAAAAGAAAGTATATACTTACATAAAACATTAAACCTAATGTACTTTCACAAACTTTAAATTTCATAACCTTGGCAAGGAAACAATGAGTTCTATTGTTATGTTCACATGGATTTAGTTAAGATTTTACTTATTAATGAAATTAAAAACGAGTGAATAATTGATGCATTATAGTAGCTATTTCAAAGTGGTATACAGTACAGTAAATGACACATATACAAAAGTTGTGTCTTCACTTGGAGTCACACCCGTACCCCACCCCCAAGCCCCATTTTCACAAGATGTTCAAGTGCGTCCAGTAAAATGGCCACCAACATATCGTCGAAATGAGAAAGTCATTACTTATTTTTGCATCTTCAATAGTATTGCTATCTCTCTCGTCATCTCATTCACTATTTCAAATCTGTATTTCAAACAGTTTCCATGGGAACAGTAGAAAATGGTACACTAGTTAGGAGGCAACACGTCTTGTGGCTTAATTTTTTTCTCTCAATAAGATCTCGGTGGCCATTTTCAAATGTGTAATATAAGTAATATTTTCCACATGCAACCATTGAACAGTGCAGCATTGCAGAGATTAACATTCACTCAGGCATCAAAATCACCAATTTACCTGGATGACCTACTTACTAACCACTCAGATGATCTAATATTCACTTATATAATTATTTTACCATATTTGCTTTATTACAAGGGCATTTACAAAAAAAGGGCAAGTAAAATGTTGCATTTGTTATACATTTACTTATTTTTACCATCGAAATACCTCTGTGAATTTACATAATCACCACTACCTGTAATAGAGCACTAACTAGCATCCTAAAGCATTTTTATCAACATTGGCTTTGAAAGTGTACCCTCCAGATTCTGAAGCTCAAGCGCTGTCATTGACTTCCCATTTATTGAGAAAATTGTCTACTCAGTCCAAATGAATATCAGGAATCTAATATATGCACTCATGTACGTCAACTGCTTACAAGGCATTAATCATCACATTTGAAAGAACACATAGATACAACAATAGAGAAAACACACTCGGGACCAAACAAAGTTACGACTAGTAACATTAACATTCATTAATCGATTAGTGAACATAAGTAATGGTAAAAAAAAGCCACAATACTAAATATAGCAGGAATAGAAGGAAAAAAATTAAAAAATTTCAAAATGTATATGCATGTAGCTATTGAGGGCTTGTTTGGTTGCCATTCTTTTATGTACGTATGTGCTGTTCTGATGTCCATCATCACCCCCCTGAAAGCCATGAAGCAAATAAATGTCTCTCAAAACACATGCTGTCGTAGGCCTGTTATCGCTTTGGTCTTCCTACCTGCACACTTTTTAAAATATTTACTCCAATTCTTAAAAGTAATTATTTTAAAATAAGAAATGTCATTGAATTTTTTTTCAAAAATCTATAAATTTGTGGGAACTATATCCTTCGATATTATAATTATGATGAAACATAACAAACAAATATAAAGCAATGTGAGATTTAATGCACAGAACAGCAAGATGACATATTCTTGCCTAGATAGAGGCTTAGCTAGAAAATCTGTTCATAATCCCAAAAACCCTGTAGGACTTAATTAATAACATAAAAAAAAGATTCAACAAATATTAATTTTCGATCACTATACATTTGAACCAAAACGGCTAAGCCCGAAATAAAACTTCATTACTAAAATTGCGGTCAACACGTAGCACACGGTGGGAGTGGAGTGACCTTGTAAACTGGCAAACATGGCCGTTTTCAACTGGGTGTTTAACTTTCCTTCACCCACGTAAATAGATCGTTAAATCGCTATATTCACTCACTTTCGAGTCCAAACTGGTCGATCGGTGGTTGAATCTGATGGACTGCGATAAATCCAAGCTGCCACGAACGCTGATATTATGTTTGTTGTACCACGCAAAACACGATATCGTGCATCTCCGTACACTGTACAGAGATCCGACTTTTTGAAAAAATTCTACTTCGGTGTGCGAAAAAAATATTTTATTCCAGGAAGGAAGTCTGAAAATATTAATTGCTTTGGATTTCAAACAAGTAATATAATCGCACAAGTACATCACCGCATACTTTGCCCGGAAATTACAGAACGAAAGTGTGGCGACTTTTTGAAAACGGGATTGCATTTTTTTTTCTAATGGCGCAGCGATCCTTGCCTATCCGTTTTTGAAGCCCCGTGTGCATTGCATCTTTTCCGGGCAACCGCGCTGAAAATACGCTCAAATTTCAATACTGGTCGCTGAATATATGCCCCAAACGTTATTAGCTTTCGTGTTAAATCTGTGATGAGAATCGGCACAGGAAGATGGTAAAAACGCCCAGACAGCGATCGAAAGTTTGGCCCTTCTCACCATTGTTTATAGGCCGACAGCATTTTTTAACACCGCGAGGTCGCATGCAAAGGCCAGCCGTTCACCCGGGCGTTTCCGTCAAAAATATTTTAAACGGGACAACAAAACTACAAAATACCAACATAATCTTAAAGATAAAATAAAAACGAATACGATTCTACAAAAAATAAAACTGAACTCTTACTTTTAAATGGATATTTTTGACGAAATTCCGCTTTAGAGACGAGTTCTTCAGACACCAATGGATCCAAGATGGCGTCAGAAAAGGGAGTCGTCGCGAAATGCATGATGGTTGCTTTCTTATCGGAAAACAACTGGAAAGAATCTAAACAATATTTTTAATAATACAAGACACATTTAATTGACAAACATATCAACAAATTGTGTAACGTGCATTTCTCCCGTTTCTAAGTCACATTTGGCTGTTTTTCAGCAGAGTTCCGATGACACAGTATAATCGCGTCTGGATCATCCCGAACAAGTGTCACCGATTATGCCGTACACCTATGAACTATTGACACGGCATGACATAGGTATATAATCAACCCAAAACGGGACAGTCGGAATCATATTCATTATAATGAAAATAATAATAAACAGATTAACTAATAAAAATATGGTGTGACGTTCCACATACAAACACAAAAAACGCGCTGGTTTAGCTGTGGCAAAAAACAAGATTTGCTCCACGAAGGGTTGTCTTGGTTACGTAATATTATGGATGGACACAGACACAAAATATAATATAAATATTTCTAAAATAGACGTATACTACTTAGTCATTGAACTATGACGTTTTCGATTCGACATTTCGATTTCCGGGTACACCGGGAGTTCCGGGAGTTTGCGTGCAACAACACACCGATGCAATTTGGCGTAATTTTTAACCCTAACACATGGGTAGATTTATACGGGTAGATACATGCGGTGACGTCATCAAATGCACGCAAGGGAGGTAAATTCGCGGAAAGGCCCACCTTACTAAAAAAAAGACAAGGTCACTTATATACGATATCCATCGTGCCAGTATGGCCACAGATTCGTTGGATGTGCTTCTGAAAACAGCACAGTACCGACGCGACTTGTCGTGAACCAACCACTCACAGTGTTGACCTTTCGCGGCATACGAACATTAACAGCACAACGGTCGTTCTATCTTTCCTCCCCAGCGTATATTATGTGGTGCATGTATTCAAGTTCGGAACACGGTTTATTTAACTGACTTTTAGCCGACAAGTAAGAACGACCAAACCCAAGTGTAATGGAAGCACGTCATGGGTTACCATACAAAGGTAGTCCATTAAAAAAAAGACTGAAACCCATTTCTTAATATCTTTATAATATGTAAACCACTCTGAAGCATGACGTGGTTAGTATGACGTATTATAACTTACAGACATCTCGAATCCTCACTAAGATTTTCATAAATCTATTTCCAGATGAACGAAGACAACACATATCACTCTTTGATTCCAGATCGCGTTTTTGAAACGTATCGTTTATCTCCAAGCACTACATTCGCAGTTTCTAAAGACCGATTTACCGATTTTACCGATGAACCAAAACCATAGCCTTAAGCTCAAGACTTTCCATTTGGAGTAATTCATATAAAATATTACTAAAAAACATCGCCATTGTCTGTACACACATATATTATATATTTTTATATTTGGGACAAGGTGTTGATTATTCGCGACTAATATCTAAAGAGTCATGAAATTGAATTAGCAGCAACATAAACAAGCACGTAAAGTGAATCAGGGAAGAGTACGTCGAATTTATAATTTTAGTAATTACGTATTTAAAGGCGGAGAGAAGAAAACATTATGATCAACACGTAACGCACGTGCGTTATTTTCTTTGAAACTGGAAATGAAACTTCATGTTGCTGGAAGCATTACGACGCTCAAATAACACCCATTGCCACACATAAAAAGTGATATATAGGTTGTTCTTACGTCTGTGTTATACACGAAATTGCAGTTGTGGAATCAGCGTCACGTTTTCATGAATGCATACAAATCGTAAAACCGATTCTTTGACCAAGTACTTCGCAAAGCCTGACCATGACCGTGACCTCATTAACGGAACTCGTTTTTCGAATTCAAATATTATGTCTTAGCCGATCTGGCGTATGTTAAACAGCTTGTTGCTTTTCATATACACAAAATAAAAACCGTTTCTGGGCGACTGCAATTATGACTTGGCATGGAAAATAGATGGCTTTGATATATTCCCAAAATAACAGCAGAATTATATTTCCAAATAAAAATGATGTTAAATAATTGACTATATCTTTTTCCAGTTTTCCTTTCGAATGTTTCGGAGTGATGTAAATATAATACTTCGAGGTTATTCGCGGCAAACTGAAAATAACGCGCTATATATAGAGATTAGATACTGATTCTCACGAGCCACCGCAAAACACGTGACAACGTGAATTAAATTAATGTCCATGCGGGTGCACGTTGATATCACACTGCTCACACAGAATTGATCTCCTAGTATTGAAATTTTTCGCGGTGACTGGTTACAGTATTTGGAAGTCAACAAAAAACAAACAAAATAAAGTGTGTCATCCAACTAGTTTTTGAATTATGAACTTATGCATTTTAACCAATTTTCATTTCAAAATTGTTGTAATACGAGATATACTTCAGTGCGAATGGAAAGTCATTATGAGTTAATATTAGGTGCTATAAAGAATCATCACGCTAAGACGTTGGGCAAATCTCTATATCGTTGTTTTCATGGTGAAAACAAATTTAGGTGTTCCCATTTTTTTTTATTTACTCATTGTCTTTTATTATTATATTAGAAAGTATCGCTAAAGTTACTTTTATATTTTTAACTATTTAGCAATCTTACAATGGAAATTGAACGCTCGCCGTGTTACACGCCCCAA